CTCTCCTAAATTTGGTATAACAAGCCCGTATGATTGTTTCATTTAAAAACCGTGCATGATCGTTTTATAAATAGTTCATTTGTCCCGACTCGATGGGCGGAGTTATAGAAAAGTGTGGGTTATGTACAGAAAAACCCACACTTTTAACAAAAGAAATCACACCTAACTATGGTACAAGTAGTAGTTACCCCATATCATACTGTTGGTTATGTGTAGATACCCGATGGGCGTGGTCATAATGACACGAGGGAGCGTAGCTCCCGAGTTGTCATTATGACCACGCTCATCGGGTATCTACACATAATCAACAGTGTTATATGGGGTAAATGACTTGTACCATAGTTTTCAAATATCATTCATATGTAAGTCAGCTTAGGAATCGACCGGACTGGTTCGCGTAATTGAAAGATAAAGTGTTTGGTTTCAAAGATGCATTTTGATTTTATATGATTTTACGCTACAGTACTTTGTGTCCTTCTGACCATGTCAATGGAATATAGGGTAAGTGATTTGTATTTAATACTTTCAAATTTTGCTACAAATTTTGCCCTATACTCGGCACTCAAGGTCATTGAGCAGTGAGGGATCTTCTTCCTGTCAACACCTGCGACACGGGACCTCTGTTTATACTTTATAGGTCTGCACGTCCCACAGTGGGATTCAACTCCTTACTTCGTGACTCTAGGGCAGGCGCTTTAACCATTGGGCCACGTAAGCGACATAAAAATTAAACATATCTAGGCCCGTGTAAAAAGTTTGATTTATGTAATTGAAAAAATAAGGAGTTTGGTTTCAATGATATATGTTAAATTGATATGATTGTTTTTCTCGAAAATTTCAATCGTCAAAATTACATACTAATAATTTGAATTTATTATAAACTTGGTTTAACTTAAATTTTTGTAAACCTGATACAAATTTTGCCGTGCACAGTGGTACGTTTATTGAAATGTTTGCTAGAGGTTATGTATATTTCAATTTAATGAAAATTAGATTTTTGATCGGCTAGATCCGCAATCAAAAAGGTTATTTAAGTACAGTAGTGTACACTTGTTTTTACGTCAAGTATGTTCCGTGTTTCCTTTGTTGGTTATCAAAAGAACGATATATTGGAATCTACTAAGCTAACGTCACCCTGGTCATAACACTATTTAAAAAAATGTTTAAAAGTCAAGCGATTTCTAAAGGTTTTTTTTCCCTTTACTTTAAAACTAAAGTTAAAGTATTAATGACTGTCTTTAACTGTTATTTATTTTAAAATGCAGTATACAATTGAAAAATTTACTCCTTTTTACTCTCCTAAATTTGGTATAACAAGCCCGTATGATTGTTTCTTTTAAAAACCGTGCATGATCGTTTTTTTTTATGTAAATAGTTCTTTTGTCCCGACTCGATGGGCGGAGTTATAGAAAAGTGTGGGTTATGTACAGAAAACCCACACTTTTAACAAAAGAAATCACACCTAACTATGGTACAACTAATAATGAAGCCCTTAATCTATATGTTTCACTTCGCATACCCCTTCAAACTGAAAAGATTGATCCCCTAACTGCTCCAGGCTATAAGCTACCTATACCTGTACAGCAGCGTGTGCGTTGAAGTGAGAAGTGATTTCCTGTGGTTAATTAACTCTGCATGCTAAATAAACAATGAGACTTATCTGTGTGCATTGAATAAACAACTCTGATATTCTTATCCCGATTGACAAAATTCGGCGGTAGGGAAACTGAAAATCTGAATTTTTTCAAATCGGAAAATTGGGGCAATTTTTCTCTCCTGATCAGGAAGGCAGGATGAAAGGGTAAAATCGGGAGAATCCCGCCTTAATCGGGAAAGTTGGCATGTATGTGCCCTGCAAATGAGCAGTATACCGCGGTTACTGTGAAATGGTGTATTATGGCTGCATTTAAAAACATTGAGAGTGTAAAACTGCAGTTTTCTTCTGTATTTGATAATGTTAATATCAGTGTCAAATATTTGATTAAATGATTTTGATTAAAATTGTGTTTTATTAGTGATTTAACCCCATGTTCTATACATTTTATGGAAAAACGAAACACTTAGTATTTTGTAAAAATAATAAGGTCACCATCTATTAATTTTAGAGTATGGCTAGATTTTTAGTTATAGAGGTTATTTATTGGTGGCTATACAATTCTTAGCTGCAGAACTGTAGCTCTCTGCTTGAGAAAATTTGGACAGATAAAGCAGAGAGCTACAGATCCAAGCGTTGTAAAAACCTTCGATTTACGCCAACGATTTTTTGTCGCTACTTTAGGTATTTATTTTGTGTAGTTTAAGCTTTCTCTGGCTTTTAGAATGGAATTCTATACTAATTCATATATTTTACTCTTATATTTGATACTTTGTTTACCGTTTACGGGTCCGAAAAAGTCCTGTGTAGAATTTTGTAATGTCGGTTTTAAAGAGTTCCATTTTGACGTCTGTAACCACAAACAGCCATTTGTTAGCATTGGGAGGTAAGTAAGTGATCAGGAAATGAAGTTGAATGCATGATTAATTATTAAATACAAATAAAAATTATTTTTAAAGCTGGGGAAAGTATAAAATACACAAATAATACCCATAGTGAGCGACAAAAAATCGTCGGCATAAATCAAAGGTTTTTACAATGCTTGGATTTGTAGCTCTCTGCTTTATCTGTCTGAATTTTCACAAGCAGAGAGCTACAGTTCTGCAGCTATTAAATACTTTGCCTTTTCATAAAATGTTTTGTTTTTAAATGAATTTAAGAAATTGTTCACAAACCTAGCAAATAGCTGGATGAAAATAATTTTTAATCTCCATATTGATTATATATATATAATGTTGCACCACGCCAATTTTTTTTATTCACGCAACATACAGCATTATATACATATATTTAATAGATTTTAAAAAAAAACCCAGATGTGTGTATGTGTGTGTGTTTTTAATTTTAAAAGAGAGGGAAGGAGAGAGAAAGAGAGAGAGAGGCACCACAACTTTCACTTGATTAAAACATAGCTAATCAAACATGATGAAGCTCACCTCAACGAATGTAATCAGTCTAAGTAATGCAAATCTCAAATCATATTTTCTTAACAGTCAGTATTTTTTCTGACAACAATATTGAAGCAAGTTCTGTTTAAATAGGTCTTAAAGTCCACTGGGATTGATCTGTTCCAAAAACTTTAACCTGGTCACTCGTTTGGAAAATGTAGGTCAGATCTAGCATCCGAAGCAAGCTTTGATTGTTCATTCTGAGATATTGTATCATCCAAGCAAGTTTGATCTGGGTAGGGCTTATAGTTACTTGGGAATAATCTAGTCACTAATCTGGAAAATGTAGGTCAGATCCAGCATCCGAAGCAAGTCTGGCAGTGTCCATCCCTAGATGCATCATCCATGCAAGTTTGATCCGGGTAGGGCTTATAGTTACTTTGGAATGGACTTGCTCCAAAAACTTTAACCTGGTCTCTCATTTGGAAAATGTAGGTCAGATCCAGCATCTGAAGCAAGTCTTGTAGTGTCCGTCCCTAGATGCATTATCCTGATTTATCCATGCTTGTTTGGTCTGGTTAGGGCTTATAGTTATTTGGGAATGGACCTGCTCCTAAAGCTTTAACTGGGGCGCCGAAGCTAACGCCGACACTGAGGCCAATGCCGACACTGGGGATATAGCATAAGCTCATCTCGACTTCGTCGAGGTGAGCTAAAAAGTGTAAATTATCTCTCGACTTCGACGAGGTGACGTCAGCTTAAAAGTGTAAATTATCTACACTAGGGGTACTGTAATGAAGACAAATCAATTCGCTCTCTATGTATCATGTCTTATTACACTCTTTAAAAGTTGCTGAAATTGGCACATTTTGAAAATGTTATTTTAGACACTGTATAAAGAGATTTAAATTTGCAGATGATTGAAGGGCGTTATTCAATCATTCAATACATACACAACAGAACTAGCTTCCCTGATGACTGATAAGATGAACTGGTGTGGACATGTCGTTGGTCGTCTAAGGATGACTGAGTGAGTGAATGAGTGATTCAATCATTTTTGAGGCTAGATATCACCTTACATGTACATCAGTAGAAAAAATGTAGATATTGATTGAAATCAAGTGTGGATCAAGGCATCCCCTGAAATATGAGATGGCAACTGTTGTGTACCTTCAACACATGTTCAATCTTTTTTATTTACAGTAAATATAACTTTTTAAAAGATGCCAATTTTAGTGACTTGAATTTTATTTTCATGAGTGTAATCAGACACACCTAAAAACAAATCATTCACCTACACTAATATGTCCTTAATATTTTAAAACGGTCCTGTGACAGTCACTTGATTTCTTGACTTAGATAAAAGATATCGGCTCACAAATATCACCCTGTATAGTGTATGTATAAAGTTTCGATTCTTCATGTTTACGGGTCCATTACTGAGTAAAAAAAAAAAAACTTGCAATTTATTAGTAATGATGTTTTATTTGGTTGCACTTTAGTTTCATTCAATGAAAAATATAAAGAGAAAATATATTTTCACTTAAATGTTTCTAAGAAAATTGTTAACACCTCTTAATAGATCTATAAAATATTTGTGAATTGACACCTTTTTCTGAAAACCCCAGCAGGGGGTATTTGTCCCTAATGGACAGTTCTTAAGTTTCAATAATAAATGTTGAAACAAAAAACAATTTTAGAATAAAATTACACAAGGAACTCTTGATTTTAACAACATTTTAATAGCATGTACCTCAACAGCGACTGTGACATATTATAAATCTGTCTTTTGAGTCATGTGACATGTGTCTTGTCTCCCCTTAAAGTGAGCTAATTTAAGGCCTGTGTTCATAGTACAAGTTTGAAGACACACAAATGATGACTTTTAAAAACACATTTGCTAGAAACACTTAATTTTCTATTACAATACATGTACCACATAATTACATGTATTTATGTACATATTTCATTTTTTGCTCTGGAAATATAATGGTAGATCTTTTTTTTCTTTATAACAGAAGGAAACTTTTACACAACAGAAAAATACCAGTATGCTATTCTGGTTTTGGATGATAATGCTGGTGTTACGTGAAGGGTTTGGTATAGACCAGCCATACGAAGCATTGAATGATACCACGTGTCATGAAATCATCAAACAGCCTAATTACCAGTCTCGTCTACCCTGCACAGGGAAAGATGTGAGATATCACTGTCTTCTGGATGGGGATAGCACCAAGGAGTATGAAGTTTGCAGAGAGTGGAAGTGGATTCCAAAAGGTAGAAATGATTTTGATGTTTTTTGTCTTAGGGACATCATATTCACCCCATATCTTATACATGTACGACTTTTAAATTTTAATTCCCAACTTTAATAACTTGCTGAGTATTCTTTTATGAAACATAGTGATCCATGCTGCTGCCTATGTGCACGTGTAATTTTCATGCTGTTAATAAGATATTTCAGCCATAAGATAAATTTACAAGTACAACTGTTGTAAAAAGTGGGCATACAAGGTATGCCTACTTCTTACTACTTATTTTTAACTTACCTGAACTGAAAGCTCAAGTGAGCTTTTCTGATCACCCGTTGTCCGTCATCCAACTGTCTAGCTGGCTGTCTGTCTGTCTATAAATTTTTCAAATTTTCAACTTCTTCTCAAGAACCGCTGGGCCAATTTTAACCAAACTTGGTACAAAGTATTTTTGGGTAATGGGGAGTTTCACTTCTTAAAATGAAGGCCCAAGTCTCCTTACAAGTGGAGATAATCAAGAAAATACTAAAAAAGGGGGGGGGGGTCATTAAAAAATCTTCTTCTTAAGAACCATTGGGCCAGAAAAGCTAAAACTTATGTGGTAGCATTCTGGGGTAGTGTAGATACTAATTTGTAAAAATCATGACCCCCAGGGGTAGGGAGGGGCTACAATAGGGAATCCATGTTTTACTTTGAAATACAGTCAAACTTGTTTTAAGAGGCCACCTTTGGGAAGTCTGGAAACTGGCCATTTAAGACAGGTGACCTCTTATTCCAGTTTGCCTTCGAAATAGCCAGTCGGTCAATAAATAAATACAATTAGATTAATTAATCAGATAATTAAAAAGATCATTTCACAAAATTTTTTATGTGTATATATATTCATGCTCATTAAAAGAATTAAGAATTCCAAATATTTAAGGTTTTGTACATATTTCTATTCCCACATATCAGTTAACCGTCATACATTCATCAGTATGCTTTTGTTACTTTGGAATATTAAATAAACTCTTAAGACTTTTAATTATTACTTGAAGAAATACATGTGCCTTGCTACTGTTCTTTTTTTTATATATATAAAAATAAACAAACCTACAAATTTAAAGTGTAATGGTAAATAAAATAAAGCAAAATAAATTAATTCACTATCATGTGTTAAAGTAATGGTCAGCGGTGACCCCCCCCCCCCCCCCCCAACCTTAATTGATCGGCAGTTAACTTACTTGTTGAAGTTTTTAAAGTCTTGTAAAATTTATTTTTATAGCTGTCAGAATTTCTATGTAACAAACACAGAGACACAAATAAGATTAACCAATTGATCAGAGAGATGTATTTACACAGTTGAAAATCATTCCATAACACAGGTGTCAAGTGCAGTAGAGCGTAACTAATCCCTATCGATGTCTCTTGGTAGTGAAATTCACTAGATAATCATGCCATATGAAGGGCTTTGTTTTTACAAGAGTAGCAATTTAGGTTTCTACATGGAATCAAAATTTAAAAAGTGTGAAAATATCGATAGCTTTGTATTAATTAACAGACTCAAAATAAACATTCAAGGAATTAATATCGAAAAGTACAAAATCTAACTTTAAGATTGATTTTCTTTAGCTATGGGAAACTGAATTAATTTTTCAATGGTCGATCTTAAAAAATAATTACAAAATCGTCTAAGAAGAGATTTTTTTTCATTAACACAGACTTCAGCATATCTGAAAGTAAATTATTTATTTGCCGTAATAGGTGAAATTGACTAGCATATAAGCATAGCATATAAGACGAGCATATAATTACACAAGCGTATGTGTTTAAAAGACTTTATAGAATCGTAACAAGTGACAAAATGGCCGCCTATTACAGTGTCAATAAGGCTGTTGGGGGAGTATTTGAGTGGCCGCTGGCCGCGTTACACAGGTGGCCGTTCATTCCAGTTAAAATATATAGGAAAAATCGTCGGGGGGAACTGAAAGTGGCTGCTGACCGCAAGTGGCCGTTGATTTCGGGTGGCCCCTAAGACAAGTTTGACTGTATATAGGAAAAATCTTTAGAAATCTTCTTCTCAAGAACCCCTTGGCCAGTAAAGCTGAAACTTATGTGGAAATATCCTGGGGTACTGTAGATTCTAAAGTGTTGAAATCATTACCCCAGGGGGAGAGGAGTATATGGCCACAATAGGTATTAAAAGGAGGAAGTTCTGGTTAAAAAAACAGCATCTCGAAAGTTACTCATGTGAGGGATGTGGCCCATAGACCTCTTGTTTTAACTTCTTAGATTTCATTTATTTATTAATTTAAGTATATTTGTCTATATAGATCGTATTTAAATTTGTAGACAAATGTGCATACTTCAATACATATGGAAGTGGAAATGTGGATGAGAGAGACTGTGAATCCACCCCTGATCTACCTTGTGCTGTCAAGGAATACAACTCAGCAGATAATACCCAATGTTAGTTTACGTTCTTCTTATAGGGAAACTTAGGGGTGTAATGATATGGTTAAAGACATTAATGTAGTATATCGCCTCGATAAAAAACAATGCAATCAAGCATGGCGTTTGAGCTTGCAATACCTGATTATGATTACCGTTTATCTAAGTTTCTATCTTTTGAAGCATGCGTTATTTTAATATAAATTAAATGCATAAATACTCCATTTCTTTTATTTAAAATGAATTAAATTTAACATTGTGCCACATCAATGTGATAGCAACACCACAGGAAAGTTGGCAAATGTTTATTTATATACGGGAGTGCTATTGTGTGTCCGTGCTTGACTAACCAAAAAGTCAAATACGGGTATTGATAAAAAAACAAAAAATATCACATTAATATATTTAAATGACAAGTGCAAGTGCTAAAATTTGTTTGCGCCAATGCATTTCCACTTGCGTTTGCTCTAAACAATGTATGCGCCAAAAAATCAATGTGATAGCAACACCACAGGAAAGTTGGCAAATGTTTATTTATATACGGGAGTGCTATTGTGTGTCCGTGCTTGACTAACCAAAAAGTCAAATACGGGTATGGATAAAAAAACAAAAAATATCACATTAATATATTTAAATGACAAGTGCAAGTGCTAAAATTTGTTTGCGCCAATGCATTTCCACTTGCGTTTGCTCTAAACAATGTATGCGCCAAATTTTCTCATTTTACAGTATACATATTATAAAAATACAAAAAGGAAAATATTGTAAAATGTTTAATAATACAGCTCTTTTCAAATTATAATATGTGTATATCAAAACATAATGTAGTCCTTTTGTTACACTCCTAACCCCTACTATATATTTTCTCGAAGTGCAATACATTAAAGCTGTATAATTTTAATTTGTCTTTGATTATAAAGATGGCAAAAATTTGAAGTTTTCAGTTTTTTTTTATTGCAGATGCTGCCTGTTATGTGAAGAAAGAAATGACAACCGTACCAATCTTAGAAACAAGGTAATATTAATTTAACTTTAAGCTATTTCTGTGTCGCTAATATTGAATGATGAATAATTACTTGTCATACATGCCAACTTTTGAAAATTCCCATGGGGGATTTAGCGCGTGACGACAATTTTTAAAAACTTTAAATTCGCGACATTTTGTCGTGAAATGATGTGATTATGAAATGATCTTTTTAGCTCACCTCGACGAAGTCGAGATGAGCTTATGCTATACCCCCGGCGTCGGCATCAGCGTCAGCATCCTAGGTTAAAGTTTTAGGAGCAAGTCCATTCCCAAGTAACTATAAGCCCTACCTGAACCAAACTTGCATGGATGATGCATCTAGGGATGTACACTACCAGACTTGCTTCGGATGCTGGATCTGACCTACATTTTCTAGATGAGTGACCAGGTTAAAGTTTTAGGTGCAGGTTAAAGTTTTTGGAGCAGGTTCATTTCCAAGGAACTATAAGCCCTACCAGGACCAAATTTGCATGGATGATGCATCTAGGGATGTACACTATGAGACTTGCTTCGGATGCTGGATCTGACCTACATTTTCTAGATGAGTGACCAGGTTAAAGTTTAAGGTGCAGGTTAAAGTTTTTGGAGCAGGTTCATTTCCAAGGAACTGTAAGCCCTACCAGGACCAAATTTGCACGGATGATGCATCTAGGGATGTACACTACGAGACTTGCTTCGGATGCTGGATCTGACCTACATTTTCTAGATGAGTGACCAGGTTAAAGTTTTAGGTGCATGTTAAAGTTTTTGGAGCAGATCCATTCCCAAGGAATTATAAACCCTACCCGGACCAAACTTGCACGGATGATGCATCTAGGGATGTACACTACGAGACTTGCTTCGGATGCTGGATCTGACCTACATTTTCTAGATGAGTGACCAGGTTAAAGTTTTTGGAGCAGGTTAAAGTTTTTGGAGCAGGTTCATTCCCAAGGAACTATAAGCCCTACCAGGACCAAATTTGCATGGATGATGCATCTAGGGATGTACACTACGAGACTTGCTTCGGATGCTGGATCTGACCTACATTTTCTAGATGAGTGACCAGATTAAAGTTTTAGGTGCAGGTTAAAGTTTTTGGAGCAGATCCATTCCCAAGGAATTATAAGCCCTACCCGTACCAAACTTGCACGGATGATGCATCTAGGGATGTACACTACCAGACTTGCTTCGGATGCTGGATCTGACCTACATTTTCCAGATGAGTGACCAGGTTAAAGTTTTTGGAGCAGGTCTATTCCCAAGGAACTGTTAGCCCTACCTGGACCAAACTTGCATGGATGATGCATCTAGGAAAGGACACTACAAAACTTGCTTTGGATGCTGGATATGACCTACATTTTCCAGACGAGTGACCAGGTTTAAGTTTTTGCAGCAGGTCCATTCCACAGGATCTATAAGCCCTATTTGGACCAAACTTGCATGGATGATGCATCTAGGGATGGACACTACCAGACTTGCTTCGGATGCTGGATCTGACCTACATTTTCATTCCCAAGTAACTAAAAGCCCAAGCTAAACCAAACTTGCATGGATGATGTATCTAGGGATGTACACTACCAGACTAGCTTCGGATGCTGGATCTGACCTACATTTTCATTCTCAAGTAACTATAAGCCCTATTTGGACCAAACTTGCATGGATGATGCATCTAGGGATGGACTCTACCAGTCTTGCTTCAGATGCTGGATCTGACCTTCATTTTCATTCCCAAGTAATTATAAGCCCTAGCTAAACCAAACTTGCATGGATGATGCATCTAGGGATGGACACTACCGACTTGCTTCGGATGCTGGATCTGACCTACATTTTCTTTCCCAAGTAACTATAAGCCCTACCTGAACCAAACTTGCATGGATGATGTATCTAGGGATGGACACTACCAGACTTGCTTCGGATGCTGAATCTGACCTGCATTTTCATTCCCAAGTAACTTTAAGCCCTAGCTAAACCAAACTTGCATGGATGGACACTATCTGACTTGCTTCGGATGCTGGATCTGACCTATATTTTCCATACAAGAGACCAGGTTAAAGTTTTGGGAACAGATCAATCCGAATGAACTTGATGTCCTTAATATCTGCAGTATTAACAGTTATGAATATTTGTTTACACGATACATGTTTTTCACGCTACACGCATAGAAATGTGTATATGCCATGTAAGGGGTTAAACACAACTTGCAAGAATATTGTTATTGGGATAAATACTTAATATTAAGAAAATATGATGTGTGATTTGCATTACTTAAACTGATAACATTCGTCGAGGTGAGCTTCGTAATCTTTGATTACCTATGTTTTTTAAATTTATAACATTGATTTCACTTATCAATAAAACTTTAAAAGGATTAATTTAATTAACACAAAAAATAATGTTTTTCTTTCCAAAATTGAAATATTTTTGCTAAAATAGGTGCCTCTCTCACTAAAGAAGGGGTATTTGGTTACATATGTAAACAACATTTTTTTCTACCAGGACACAATTCAGTGAAAAATTGAAAATTGTACAACTTTTAAAACATTTTTTTCAAAGGCTAAAAAATATATGAGGTTTTGACACTGTAAAGTCCTGTTTCTAGAAACATTTTTGAGATTTTTTATTTATAGTTTAGAAATTTTGATAAGATATTAAATTTACAGAAATTTATACCACCTATCCAAAACAGAATTATTTTTTTACAGTCATGAAATTTGTCAGGCTTGATGGTGCCATGTGGGTTTTTCCTTAAGTCATGCACATACCTAAGATATTACTTTTTGGAGAAGGGAGGGAAAGATTCTAATTGACATACACTTGATTGTTTCATCTTAATTTTTAGCTCTACTGGTCAGAGACCAGAAGAGCTTATGCGATAGTAATGTGTCCGTCGTCCGTCCGTCTGTCCGTCTGTCTGTCTGTCACTCTTCCGTCCACAAATTTTCTGTTTTTTTCTAATAACTTTTTTTAGCTCACCTGAGCTGAAGGCTCAAGTGAGCTTTTCTGATCACATTTTGTCCGTCGTCCGTCCGTCTGTCAGTCCGTCCGTCCGTCTGTCCGTCCGTCTGTCTGTCCGTCTGTAAACTTTTCACATTTTCAACTTCTTCTCAAGAACCACTAGATTGATTTTGACCAAACTTGGTACAAAGCATCCTTGGGTGAAGGGGAATTTAAATTGTTAAAATGAAGGGACATATCCCCTCGCAAGGGGAGATAATCAAGAAAAGACAAAAATAGGGTTGGGTCATTAAAAAATCTTCTTCTTAAGAACCACTGGGCCAGTAAAGCTGAAACTTATGTGGAAGCATCCTGGGGTAGTGTAGATTCTAAATTGTTCAAATCATGACCCCCGTGGGTAGGGCGGGGCCACAATGGGGAATCAAAGTTTTATATAGAAATATATAGGAAAAATCTTTGAAAATCTTCTTCTCAAGAACCACTGGGCCAGAAAAGCTGAAACTTATGTGGAAGCATCCTGGTATAGTGTAGATTCTAAATTGTTCAAATCATAATGACCCCCGGGGGAAGGGTGGGGCCACAATGGGGAATCAAAGTTTTATATAGAAATATATTGGAATAATCTTTGAAAATCTTCTTCTCAAGAACCACTGGGCCAGAAAAGCTGAAACTTATGTGAAAGCATCCTGGTATAGTGTAGATTCTAAATTGTTCAAATCATGATGACCCCCGGGGGAAGGGCGGGGCCACAATGGGGAATCAAAGTTTTACATAGAAATATATAGGAAAAATCTTTGAAAATCTTCTTCTCAAGTACCACTGGGCCAGAAAAGCTGAAACTTACGTGGAAGCATCCTGGTATAGTGTAGATTCTTAATTGTTCAAATCATGACCCCCGGGGGAAGGGCTGGGCCACAATGGGGTATCAAAGTTTTACATAGAAATTTATAGGAAAAATCTTTGAAAATCTTCTTCTGAAGAACCACTGGGCCAGAAAAGCTGAAACTTATGTGGAAGCATCCTGGTATAGTGTAGATTCTAAATTGTTCAAATCATGACCCCCGGGGGAAGGGTGGGGCCACAATGGTGTATCAAAGTTTTATATAGAAATATATAGGAAAAATCTTTGAAAATCTTCTTCTGAAGAACCACTGGGCCAGAAAAGCTGAAACTTATGTGGAAGCATCCTGGTATAGTGTAGATTCTAAATTGTTCAAATCATGATGACCCCTGGGGGAAGGACGGGGCCACAATAGGGAATCAAAGTTTTAATAGAAAAATATAGAAAAAATCTTTGAAAATCTTCTTCTCAAGAACCACTGGGCCAGAAAAAGTGAAGCTTATGTGGAAGCATTCTTGGGTAGTGTAAATTCTAAATCGTAGAAATCATGACCCCTGGGGGAAGGGCGGGGCCATTATAGGGAATCAAAGTTTTACATAGAAATATATAGGAAAAATCTTTGAAAATCTTCTTCTCAGGAACCACTGGGCCAAAAAAGCGGAAACATATGTGCCCATCCATGGAAGGATCATGGGGTAGTGTAGATTTCAAAATGTGTAAATTATGATCAGTGGGGTAGGGTGGGGATGCATTATGTATAACAAGGGGGAAATCTGGTAAAGAACAGAATGGTCAAAGCTTCTCAGGTGAGCGATGTGGCCCATGGGCCTCTTGTATGGTTGCCCAATCAAGTTCAAATTTGGTATGGTAGTTCAGTAGGCAGAAATACATATTTTGATGCTAAGTTTGGTTCTCTATGTCTTCTGGTTTGGAGCTGGGGTGGTGGGGTAGATTCCTTAACTATGCATAAGAATGAATGGGCAACTTTTTTTATGGTTGCCCAATCAAGTACAAATTTGGTATGGTAGTTCAGTAGGCAGAAATACATATTTTGATGCTAAGTTTGGTTCTCTATGTCCCCTGGTTTGGAGCTGGGGTGGTGGGGTAGATTCCTTAACTTTATATACGAAAGCATTGGCAAAGAGAGATAACTGCTGAAGATGTTCCCATTGTAAACTGAATGCTGCTATGAGTCCCTTGGGATTAATTAGCTTTCCTCCTGAAGAAAATCCAGAGCATTATCTTTATCTGTCAAATTGAGATGAATTACCACCTCTGTCTGCAAATGAAGATTGTTATTAATTAAGTCATTAATTTGGAATGCTATGAACACTCTGAAATGTGGATTTAAATATAAATTTTTATAATTTATTTTTGTTTAATAGTTATGATTTCGTTGAATTCTAATAACAAGAAATAGATTAAAGAAGATTTTTTGATTTACTTTTTTTGCTTTATGTTAATTCAAGAATATTATTAATTTTTAGGATAGTTGTATAAAAACCCCATTCTATCATTAATACTGAAAAAGTTCTATTGTAACTTAAGAAGAAAATGATGAGAGAGGTACAATTAATCCCTTGGGATTAATTATCTAGCCTGCTGCAGAAAATTTAGAAGGCTTTTCTTTATCTGTCACTTTAAGATTAATGAAAACCTTTGTCTGCAACTGCTGTTTGTTTGAAGTTAAGGTCAAGCCTTCTTGATATTTGCATTCATTGAAGGCTGGCATTTTATAGAACACAAGCTTCCAGGGCTCTCGATTCTCTAAATCTGGGGCCGATATTCGGCCCTGTTCCCAATGCAAAAAAGGTACCTTTTTTCCCAAAAGAAAGGTGTAAATTTCCCAATTTCCATAGCAAAGTATTAAAAAAAAAATAAAAGTCCATGAAACTTAATTGCAAAAAACCCCCAAACAAAACACACTTGCAAATGAAAGTGAAACTGTACTACTATTTTATTAGTTTGCGCCAAATGCATTTGTAAACTGGTTAGGGGAACCAGGTAATGTGTACTAACTATGAGTGCAGAGTATCTTGTCATGTAGTTTCGACCATTTTGGTTTCAAAAATAGACATTTCATTTAAACATTAGTAAGCTGCACCTAGAAACATATCCACGTTTCAGCATGTTCAGTCTCACGCTGTATTGGTAAGCAAAGTTGTCCATGTAATCAAGGAAATTCGGGATTATGTGACTAGTGACTGTCACTCAGAAAGACATATAACCGCAATATCAACACTCAAAGATAGTAATGACAAAGCTAATGTACTTTCATAAATAGCCTACATACCCAAGTTTGTTCTGTTTAACTGTTTATTCAAAACCAGAGTTTAATTGATGACAAAATGCTAGAAAAGCAAAATTTGAGGAATTTTTTTTAATGAATTTTGGACGGTTATCCAACTTTTCCAAAAATGACGATAATTTTCCCAATTTGAATGGCCCCGGCCCCAGTCCCAAAAAGTGGTGTGAGAGCCTTCATATAAATATACATTCAATATTAAGTTGTTCTTTACTGCCTAATGTAAATACAAGGATATTATTTTCAGGTTTTTGAATATTCAGGAATTATCTTGAAATTTTAAGAATACAGTTGCTGTTGCTTATTCTTCGTACATTTTTTAATCATTCCGTAAGCTGCACCCTATTAATTCTACCCCATGGCGGGGCCCTTGCTGACTGGTCAGTTTTCTAGTAGTTTTCTACTTTCGTTTTAAAAAAAACGATCTCTTTGGATTCCGATTTTATGGTTTGATTTGTATTTTATTGTCTTTAATTTATGTTTTTAATAAAATGACTAACAATTATCATGTTAATCTATGTGTTTCACCTTGCATACCCCTTAAAACTGACAAGATAATCCCCTAATTGCCCCTAGCTATAAGCTACTTGTACCGGTGGACAACTGCGTGCGTTCAAGCGTGAAGTGATTTCCCGTGGGAAATTAACACCTTGTTAAATAAACAATGAAACTTATCTGTGTGCATTGAATAAACAAGTCTGACATTGTTATCCCGATTGTCAAAATTCAGCGGTAGGGAAACTTAAAATCGGAAATTTTGGCGATTTTTTTTTCAAATCGGGAAATTAGGGCAATTTTGCTCTCCCGATCAGGAAAGCGGGATGAAAGGGTAAAATCGGGAGAATCCCGCCTAAATCGGGATAGTTGGCATGTATGACTTGTGGGATAGATGTCGCAGCCTAACAATTCTATGTTAAACTAGCAGGCGAACAGTGAAAAAGTAAGATGGGTGTAATAACATTTCTTTTGTTGGACGTTTTATTTGTAATAAATATATAGAAAGATATTAACAATGTGCATTAGTAAGTGAGAGACACAAAAAATTTAAGCATCCTGGAGTGGTGCAGGTTCTAAATTTCTCTAATCATGGCCCTTGGGGGTAGGATTTGGCCACAATAGGGAATCAAAATTTTACTTCGAAACTACTTACTACTAGGCAAAATCTAGAAAGATCTTCTCATTGAAGAACCACAAGGCCAGTAAAGCTGAAAAGTGGAAGTATCCTTAGATTGTGTAGATTCTAAATTGTTTAAATCATGGCCTTGGGGATAGGGAATGGGCCACAATAGCAATTCCAAGTTTTACATTGAAATATAGAGGAAAAATTTTCTGAAGAACCACTTGGCTAGGAAAGCTGAAACTTAGGTGGAAGCAACCTGGGGTAGTGTAAATTCTTATTTATTCACATCATGGCTTGTGGGAAGGATGGGGCCACAAGTTTTACAAAGGGAACATCTTTTGATGAACAGCATGGCCAAAGTAATTCAGGTGAGCATTGTGGCCCATGGGCCTGTTATTTCCATCTGTTTTTTATTTTTACCATAAACTTGCTTCATCTGATCAGCATTCCTTTAGAATGAAAATTGTTTTTCACTTTTAAATTGATTGTTGAGATATATGGTGAGGCAGCTGTATTTATTTTATTTAAAGGGTTGTTAATTCATCGAATGGAGAGAATTCATCACTGGGACAAACCCCTCCAACTAATTCAATTCAGGATAAACAAAGTCATCCTGGGAGGTGAGTTTTATTCAGAGATCAAACCAGTATAAATTTAAAGTTTTTGGGCATAAAAAGCAATCTTGAAACAATGTATCAGAACACAGATGATTGAAAATATAGTTTATAGACTAGTTATTGTTCATTATTATAGCTAATTGATATACATTGATCTTGACTGCTAAGACTAATACAAAACAAGATACACATGTATTTCAGCTCCATAAAAATAAAAGCGATTTCGCTGGTGGTGCTTCTCATAAATTTAAGTAATTTATTCCATGCATATAAATAGGGATCTACAGTATTCAGCCCATGACATTCTGTTACGGATTCAGTTACACTGAATCTGAGGCTATAAAAGTATGGGTTGGATACCTTAATTAAAAAAATATTAAAATAAAAAAAACCCTGAATCATACTTTTAACTTAAATGTAACATTTTGATATTGATGTTCTTTTATTAAATGGTTATTATGTCTGTTAAGAAAAATATTTAATTAATTAGAAATTTTGTAATTTATGTAAATCCTTTTTTTGTCCACTAAAAACTTTGAGTAAGCATCATCCTTATCGCACAGCACCATTCAGATTCTTTGTTGAATTTTGCAATTGTATTTCGGTCAGATTCATCAGCGTCATAACTAAACGCATCGGTATTTCGGTCGAAGTGTATACTTTCAAGCAAGATTTGCAATAAGTAATTTTTTTCTGAATTTATAAATTTGCTTATTTTTTTAAATTGTAGTGCTCTAGGAATTGCATTTGGTGTACTTATACCATTAATCCTGGCAGTTGCTTTAGCAGTTTTATTAATCAAACGTGGAAATATATTGGAACATTGCAGAAAAGGTATCTTTTTATTTTCCTTACCTGAGCTGGAAGCTCAAGAGTACTATTCTGATCACATTTTGTGTGGCACCTGTTAATCCTGTTTATTTTTCTGTTCAGTATCATACATGTACATAGCATTTAGTTCAGTTCAAAGAAACTACATGCATTCAACAAATTCCACACACTGATGTAAATAGATGTAAGCTACTGTGGAAAAATTTTAATTCGGGGGGTCAATGTTCGTTGGTAAGCAAAATTTTGTTTGTTCGTGGGGATATAATTTTGTGGGTAACTCACATATACAAAAGATTCAATAAATTTATATGTTGACAAAATAAATGTTTGTGGGGATGTAAATTTGTGGATAAGGGTGACCACCGAAATCAATGAACATTGGTCCCCACAAACATTAACGACTTCTCAGTCACAAAAATTTAATGTTTAGGACTGATTTTGACATTTTCATCTCCTTCTCAGGAACCACTGGGCTGATTTAACCCAAACTTGGTACAGAGAATTTTTGGGTAAAGGGGATTCAAATTTCTTCAAAAGAAGGACTATGCCCTCTTCCAAGGGGATATGATAAAAAAAAAAATAAAAAATTAATACATATAGCATCATTTAAAAACTCTTCTCAAGAACTACTGGGCCAAGATGGATGAAACTCGTGTGGAATCATCCTCAAGCATTGTAGATACAAATTTGTTCAAATCATAACCCCTGAGTATTTGGTGGGGCCACAATAGCCGATCAAAGTTTTAGATAGGAATATATCTATAGGAGAAATCTTCAAAAATGTTCTCAAGGAAAGCTATGCTATGATTGGTCATATTTATATAGAAGTATATGAATGAAAATTACATTAAAAAACAACATTTACTTTGGGTATCTATGAAACAGTAGAACAATCTGTAAAATCTGTAGAACAATGATAATCAAACCAGAAAATTCTGGATTTTATTAATTACTTATCTCTTGAACCCCTCAATCTCTTGAATGAAACATATGGAGATAACAAACAGTATTCAAGCTCTAAAGTCCATAAAACAATACAAAATAGGAGAAAAGCAAACATGAACCTCCAAAACATCAGAGGTGGGATCAGGTACCAAGAAGGAGTTTAGGATCCCCGACCTTGTGCTCTTTGTCATGATTGGGAAATAACGGAAAAATCCATTGTCAATTCAGTGTATAGATAATGGACTTAACAATTAGTATGATAAACTTCAGTCAGCATTTGACTCAATGATAAATTGTATTTGCTGACAAGGTCATTGTATCGACCATATGATTACTAAAAATATAAATTTCTGTGCAATACTTTCAAAATCACATTCCTCCTACAGTTTTAGTCAGATTTCAATTAACTTGGTGCACAAGTAGCATAAACTAAGATACATAATTCTTTGTTTCTATTTTCGCTTTTGATGAACGGTGTTGCCATGGTTACTAAAAATAGAAATTTCTCTGAAATACTTTAAAAATGATGCTCCTTCTAAAGTTTTAGTCTGATTTCAATATAAATTAGTGCACAAGTTGACTAAACTAAGAAACATCATTCTCTTTGTTAATTTTTTTTATTTCAGTGAAATTTTGATTTAGATGAACTATGTTGCTGTGGTTACTAAAACTAGAAATTTCTTGGAAACACTTTCAAAATATTTCTATGTATCAAATCTTGATTTCGATGAACAATGTTGCCATAGTTACTAAAAATAGAAAGAGCGATATATGGTAAGTGTCTCAATTGGCCCCTTAAAATGGATATCTTAATTTTACTTTATATATAGCTTTAATTTGTACAGCTATATATGCGACCTTTATTGGTCATTTTCATTTTGATCAAAATGCCATTATTTTAGAAATATGACATCATAAAAATCACATTTTCCCGCCATTTTAGCACATTTTTTATAAAATTGCTTAGTTTCAAGCAGTTTTTCTTTCAGAAAATATAGAGCGCAGCCGAGAACAAGATTTATATTTTTACCAAAGATGTATCTATTCAATACTTATTAGTGACAGAAAAAGTATGTATGATCTACACTGCGCTCTATGTTTCCCAGAAAAAAAAAAAACATCAAGAAAAAGGTATATTTTTGGCAATTTTGTTAGATAGCAAAAATAGCATTATTTCTCATGTCATTTACAGCTAGTGAGTGCATATAAATGTGAAAAATATATTGGAAATATTTCTAATATAATCTCTTCTACAAAATAAATATAAATAAAACATATCTGAATGTCATTCTAAAATGTTGATTTTTAGGGGGCCAAAATTGGCTCTTATCATATATACTCCTTTCAGTTTAAAACTGTAGACAGTTTTAATCTGATTACAATATAACTTTGCACACAATTACACAACACTAAGATGCATAATTCTGTATATCAGTTTTTGATTCACATGAACAGTATCCTCATGGTTACTAGAAATAGAAATTTCTGTGAAATACTTTTGAAATGCTACTCCTAATTCATTTTTACACTGATTATAATATACTACACTGAGTCATTGTCTTTATTGTTTTTGATTTTGATGAATGAAGTTGCCACGGACACTAAAATTGAAAATTCTGTAAAATTTTATTAAAAACTACTTTTTATTTGCAGTCTTATTGCAATCTTGCCACAAAAAGAGACTTTATCAAGGATCATTATTCTATTTATTGCTGTTGCAAAGTTTCAAGTCTCGGCAGAGAGTTCTGAGGCCTGTTCAGCAGAGCGAATGTTTGCGAGCGCTCGCGAACATTTCTATTAGAGATAAAAGGAATTTTAGTGAGGGCTCGCGTACATTCGCTTTGCTGAACAGGCCTTTAGTCTTCAATGACACTCACAGTCAACATCACAATGATGACGATGGTCACAATATCCACAATGCCATACATATACTAATTGATTACAATAACCTGAAGGGTCTGATTCTATGTCAACAGTGCTGGTACGGGACTGATACATGTCCAATGTTGATATCATGGTTACCCACCTTCTTTGCATCATGTTTAATTTTTATACCCCCACAAACGAAATTGGCTCATAACTAGAAAACTATGACCGGTAGACTTACAATCATCAAACTTGGCAAATTTATGCATCTTGGGTAGGTGTGTCACAACCTATTTCAAGGTAGTTTTTAATATTGAATTACACAATCCCCAAAATTGTAAGAGTGTTGCTGTATCCCTATTTAAAAAATGTTAAATTAGGAAAATGATATTTTTTTCATTATATACTTTACAGCAATCCATAACAAATGTTATTTTATAAGAGATAATCTACCTCTCCTAAGGGTATAATTATCAAGCACTGGTCAAGGAGAATTTTGATAACAGAAACTTGCATGTCAAATTAGAGAGAAATTAATTAGTTTGGTGTAAGGAGCTAACTGGTAGAAAATCTCTGTTTATATCTCTTGGGAACTGGGTGAAGGAATCAGCCTTAAATAGTTTTAGTGACAAGCCTAACTTTTTTAATGAATTTGAGCTATGAAGAAGTAATTCAAACTAATATGATATTGTATAATAAACTTATTTGATATTGTATAATCATATAATTGAAACTAATTATACTGTGTGTGTGTTGGGCGAGGGGGAGGGGATATTGGAATTGGCATGCCCATTCTCTATATGAATTTCAGATTGAAACTTTAAGTCTGATTTTAAGATAGTCCCTACAAATCTAAGAATCATGCAGGAATCTAAGCATCAAGATTACACAATTTTTTTTCTGAATAAATCTTTGTAACAAATTTATACAAAAGCTGTGCTTTCAGATTTAATTTCAGAATGACACAATTATGCATTTTGATTGCACTCGTAGGAGATAGTTAAGATCCATTCATCCCTTGACATTAATAAGTGGACATGCATCAAAGATTAATTAATGAGTTCAATCTAGGAAAGCTAGCTGTCTCAACCATTTCTTTTATAGAGCATCACTGATCAAGGAGCTCTTATCTGTGTCCTTTGGGAATTAGACAGAAGAACTGCTGGTCAGTTTAAATAGCTTATGTCATTTGATGGCCAGCCCTCTATTTCTAAAATCAATTTGTTATTGATTAAGTTTTTAATACTAATTAGTTAAATTGATATAGTTTAAAAAAAAATTGAAAATATCAATTGACAAATTTCAGAGCATCATGTCCAACATGAAAGATATATGCATATGTGTGTGTTTGTGGGGAAGGGGCATTTTTAAAGGGGATTTCACTACTAAGTCAGAAACGTACTGACATTCCCATTTTTTACTGACAAACTTAAAAAAATTACTGACAATGTGCTGTCGTTACTGTAAAACTTAGACAATTACTGACCTTTTTACTGCCGGTGCTGATAAACTTAGAAAAGTGCTGACAATCTTAGTCGGTGCTGAAAAACTTAGACAATTACTGACCCGTTTACTGTCCCTGCTGAAAAACTTAGACAAGTACTGACATTTACTGATAATTACTGTCTCTATTGTTCTCGCTCTCGGGGAGGCTGCAGTAGTGTGAAAATGACTGTGTGGTACACTTTGCATTTAAAAACAGTCTTATTTTAATTTTTGATGAAAAAAAAAATCCCAGGCAGTTTTCATTTTTTTAATCTAAATATTATTGATATCTGTAAAATAATTCAGAATATGATTTGAAATTAACTATAAGTAAATCCAAGTTTAAATTTATTTGTTGAATATATCTATCCCTGTTCAATTAAAGAATTAAAATTAATTAATCATCAAGTTAGTTTTCATCTATTTATTTCCTTGCAGACAGATATCTGACTTTAATGTAGAGCCCCCCCCCCCCGTTTTCACGATCGGAAAGTTGTATCAATTTTCTTCTCACAAACAGGACAGATGTCTCTTGTTAAAAAAGGATAACTTCTAAATATTGAATAAATATTGAATAATTACTGATAGGTAATTCAGTTTCCTAATGTTCTCGGACATCTGTACAAGTCATATAATTATATACCCCTGTTTAAGATTTCCGGTTTCATTTGCTCATACGGGAGTTCCCCTATTGAACAGTACAGTGT